TGGTTGGCCAAATAGTCCCTTGAGGGCTAAGACACTTGTTCATTTCCCTAAATTAATGAAATATTATACTTCTAACCATGTATACACACTGCATAAAGCCACTATTTTACAAATAATAATGCAGTCAGGAGATGGTGTGATGCAATGAGTTGTTTCCACATTTTTAAACATTTAAAATGCATGAAAATATTTTCTATCACTTTGTTTATCACTCTTGAAATGACCTGTACACTAAATCTAACCCTCATACTTGCATAACAATAGCAGTCTATTTATTTAGTGGTCCAAGTTGAAGTCAGTATGTATATTAATGACAATATGGGACAAATATAATGTAATTTAGTGGCGGCAGGAGCTGCGTGCTGCCAGTACATGTACAGTCAGACAAAACAACATGCACATTTATCAAAGACGCCAGTGCGCGTACAGTCGTGGAAAACGATGTGTTCGGCAGTTAAAGAGTCGGCGTGTCTGTGGAGTGCACGTCATGGGAAACAATGTGCTCCGTAATTAAAGAGGCAGGGCAGCGTTTCTGTTATTTGGTTTGTGTCATCCTTTACGGGAAACGCCGGCGCAAGGCTGCTCACAGCGCTTGGTCACGTGTCGCACCAGAACCGTTTTTGGAACCGAAACTTAGAAATTGCTCACGGTTCCGGTTCTTTTAAAAAAAACAGAACTGGTTCTGAATAAGAAATTTGTTGATAATAATTAGTCAACAGATTTAGAAATGCTCCGATTATACCTTGCCTCACAACATGTGCATAGGAAACAAGACACTCCCGACCCTGTGAATTCACCCCTTGTCTAGACCCTGAGAGCTCTAGAGGTGCTGCATGGATCTAATTCTAGAATTAAAACCTCTTTCTCTGTCCAGAGTATCTTTTGATGAAGCGGAGCACTGATTAAAAGATGTGACAAAAGACCACCATTTAGTTGTTGGTAAATGAGTGTGATGTATTTTCATAAGTTACTTCTAAAGATAAATCTTGGCTAGAGCCCAGTTTTGCAAGGTCACCCAGCTGTGACCAACACCATAAACAAGTTACTAAGATGTCTTAATACATTTTCGTAGTGGTGGTGGTGGTGCAGTCGTGGCCTAATGGATAGAGAGTTGGACTTGTAACCCAAAGGTCGCGGGTTCGAGTCTCAGGGATTGTAGGTGGGGGGAGTGAATATCCAGTGCTCTCTCCAGCCTAAACACCACGGCTGAGGTGAGACCCTTGAGCAAGGCACTGAACCCCCAACTGTGTGCGTGCACTTGGATGGGTTAAATGCAGAGCACAAATTCCAAGTATGGGACACCATACTTGGCCACGCGTCCTTTCCTTTCCTTCCTTCCTTTTTTCCTTTCCTTGGTAGCAGCAACAGCATTGTTTGTTTGTTTGTTTGTTTGTTTGTTTGTTTGTTTTTATTTTGAATGAAATTATTTATTTTTTTCCCTTGTTCTCCCCCCCTTTCTTTAGGTAATTGACTACAATGGTGAGAGAACACTAGATGGATTCACAAAGTTTTTGGAGAGTGGAGGAAAAGAAGGCGGGGCACCAGCAGGAGATGATGAGGATGAAGATTCTGATGTATGTATGATTTGGTTGCGGTTAAATTTTTCTTCAATGGTTTTGTTTAACTTCATTGAATTGTTACTTGTTCATACCATAAGTATACCATACCATAATTTCAATTGAAAATCTGGCAGCTTTGGCTACAGAGAAATCTGTTTCTGCTTAGTTTGTTACTTCAGTAATTAAACTTTTGGAAGGGTTATGCATGTGCACATAAATGAGTAAAAAAATTTTTTTTAAAAATGATAAAAATAAAAGAATGACCTAAAGCTGATACTTCACCAATAGTTGGAATAAAATTTATTGTAAGCTTGGAGAGTTTGCTTATGGAGCTGCAGTTTTTTGCTCTCTCATGGGCGTTCCTGGCTCTGGTCCTCCTCTGCAGGGGGTAAAAGACCCTGCTGCAAATCTGTCGGACAGGCACTTGCCAAGAGCCTGAGTGATGCAGTCCATTAAAGTGGCCCAGTTTCTCCTTCAACCTTAAAGTTTTGGCTTAATTCAGGGAGATGTTTGAAAATCTAATCATTGTAAATGCTTGCAAACAGTTAATTTTTCAGATTCTTGATGCTGATTTCCTTTCATTTCTGACACCCAAATGAAGTGTCCTTAAAAAAATAACTGCCTACTGGATGACCCTTTGCTTCTGAAGATTCAGAAGATGGAAAAGATAAATCTTTGACATTAGGACATAATCAGTAGTTCGTTTTTTACTGCATGATTGTCATTGCCAACAGTTTCATCTGCACCAATTAATATTAATCCATAAAGTATGCAGGTGAATAGAACTGCTCCTGGAGTAAATGTTCTCTAGAAATGTTTCCTTGCTCGTTTTGTAGTCTGGGGTACTGAAATGGAGCCGTGCTTCCTTGAGTCTCAACCTTTTTGTGAGGTCTGCTTTTCAAATATTTAAAGTTAGCACTGGGTGGGTGTTCTTCCCTAAATATTCAGAGAATATCCAGACTGTAACAAGTCTATAGCCTTATCTATTTGCACAATTTATTGCATTAAACAATCGGTTGTCAAAATGGTGAAAAATGTTAAAACACTGAATAGTCTTCACTGTATGAATTAAATATACATTGATGCTATTAAAGCTACTAAAATTATTCAGTTGAGTAACATTAATGGCACAGAGAGCGCTAAAGACATACCAAATGCATGGATCTAATACTGATACATATCTGATTATTTTCCCAGCTTTTTGTTCACTTAAGACATAACTGACTGTCTTCATGTAAATACTTGCCAAAATGGACATTTTGTGTATATTTGACTGAGACTGAGTGAAACAACATGGACAAGCAAAGTACACTTTGAGTTTCAGGTGCGTGCTTAAACGGAGTGCGCATGCAGAAAGCACCTGGGGAAGGAAAGAAATGGCATGCAGCACAATGATCAACCTTTCATAATCATTGGAAGCCAAAATTGAAACGAACTAAAATTTGATTAATTGCACAGCCCTACTGCTAGCTTGCATTGAATTGTTTTGATCACGTCACATGATAGATTTAATATTAGGAGTGTTCGACTTGAAGCCGTGCTGCACAGACCAATTGGTGCATGACATTACCTATTACGTGGACTTAAAAAATCACAATCTCTATAATTTGCCTGAAAGGTAAATCGTGATATGGAGATTAATCGCACTATAAAATTGTGAGATCACCCACCCGTAAGTTAGCATAAGCAAACACCTAGTTATGGTTGTCAGTTACTAAATGCCACTAGACAAGCTAAAACTACCAGTATTTCAAGTGAATGGGTTTATTAGTTGATCATTTTTTGTCTTGCTGGCTTCACTGATCTCCAGATCATATTAGACCAATGGCCTATTTTTGGTTCATTCTAAACCATTTGGCTCAAAGATTCTGAAGTATATCACATTTTTTAGGCACAATCCAGGACCACAGAAATCCATCCAGAGGAATGCTTCTAGGAAGTTTAAATTTAGAACATTATCATTGCCACTAATGCCCAACACAACTGTTATAGCTGTTTACCTTCCATTTCCCCCCTCCCCACCACCACTGACAGGACTAAGTCAGTCAACACTAGCTAGTCCGCACGTCCCAGCTATGAGGAAAGGACTCTGCAACCGAACACTGCTGGTGATAACACGTCTCAGCCCCTGTGAACTCATGTCGGGTTGCACTTGTTTTGCTGCAGGGATTACTGGCATGTTTGTGGCAGGGCAGATTTGTTTTGATGAATTGCAGTCATGCTAGTACACATGGCCTTCTGGTAGGGATGACCATGATTGTGCTTGAAAATATTTGTTTTGGTGGGCAAATATCCAAATTGATGCCATTGCACTAAAATGTTTTTACATGTATTCTAAGAATATCTTACTCATTCCACAGGATCTGGATCTTGATGATGCAGAGGATGATTCAGATGTAGAAGAGGGACACGATGAGTTATAAGAGTCAGGAGGAAAAGGCGAGACAAACCCCTTCACCACCACCACCTCCACTTTAAACCTCCCTGTCTGTGAACACTAAAGCTTTTCCTAACTAATCGAACAGCCACCGGGCGTTACAGGGTCTTCTTTCAGCCATTTGTCATTACCAGTCCAGCCCAACCATCTGCAGCCCAGAGAAGTGCCTCTCTGCCCACAACGACTTTCTCTTTGAAGTGTTTTACTGTACAGTTTACTTTTTGCATTAAATTGTATTAGGTTTTTAGGTTAAATTCTAATGGTAATCTGTTGAACTGCTCTTTATACCTGCCCACTACCTCCTTTTGTGTTCGGGAAGGCCCAGTGAAGATTTTTTGCAGTATAATACTGGAAATACTCTCCTGTTGAAGGAGGGGGAAAGCCAGTTATTCTGCCTTAATTCTGTGATATGAATGAGTGGACATTTCAGGGCAGAGGGGGCTGTATGTCATTCACCTTTGGGTGGAAATAAAATTATAATAATGGGCTGCTATTACAGTGTGAACAAAATTTAGCAGACACCAAACTGAGGTACCTTCCCTGTTTCATTAGTCAAACCACATTTTCGTATTCCTTTTCCAAATTAACACCTGCTACTGAATTATTTTTAAAGATGTAAAAGTGGAGAACTTGTTTTATTTAATTTTATATTTCAATTATTTTCTTTTTATTATCTTCCATACTGAAGGGCCCAGAAACAGCACTTTTGTTAAGTTACCTGGGGCAGAGTTGGCCGATGTGGGAGGATGATTTGAAACCTTATTTTGCACTTCATTCAGTGCCATCAGAGATTCCATATCAGTTACTGAAATGAAGATTTACCATCTTGTAAGGACAATAACTCTCCCGTACCCTTCCTGCTTTCCATCACTTTAGTGGAAGATTCCTTCCACCTGGAGGTATAATGCCAGTTGACGACGTCTGAGTGGTCAGTGTGACGGGGAGGAGAAAGTGTGCTTGTAACCAACTTAATCAATCTTTTCTCCTTATGCTAGGGTTCAGGGTTGTGTGTGTCTATGATTTGGTTTAACCCTCTTGTTGTCTGTCTTTATTTTTCTAGGAGCAGTGAATTTCAGGGATGTTTAAAGAAAGGGAGGGTTTAGGAATTCAATTGAGAGGGATTTGGGTTTTGAAATTTGTCAACATGTTTGAGACAAAGCATTCCATTGCATTGAAATTGATAACGAAAACTGGTGGCCAAATAAACAACAAAATGGTAATAAATGTGTTTGGTGAATTTTATTTGACCACTTTCTATTTTAAAATTACTGATTCAGTCCGTTGATAAGACAATTCAATGTGATTCAGTAATGCATTAGTAAAACAAAGACCTCATAGTGGTCATGGTTGTCAAGCTAAAATGAAGAACAACAACAAAAGTTATGCAGCCAATGAAAAGATGGATTTTTGGAGTTTTGCCAGAAGGGAATCTAGAATGAAAAAATTACTGCAATTACTGCCTTGTCATCCCACAAAGCTATTATGTGACTTTAAAACTGATAAATTCTTTGAACTGCTTGTAATATATTTTCATAGTGCTTTTTTGGAGCTTGACAACAATTGCCATTGAAAGTTGTCCTAAGAGCTGCATTAACATGATGACAAAAAATACAGTTTGTGGGTTTGGAATGACATCATGAATGAATTAAGGTTTTTTTTTTTTGTTTGTTTTTTGGAGGTGAGCATTCCATGTCTCACTGGGTTTTTATAGTTTCAAATAACTTATACCCTGTGTTATACCCAGAACATGGAGAAACTTCTGGAACCGTTAGTAGGGCTGAGTAATAATAGCCCACAAAATAGAACGTCAGGTAGACTTAAACTAGAAATCACTGTAAGGCCTGCTGTCAGGAATCATGACATATTAATGTGATTAAACGGTCATCTGCAAATAGAGCAAGAGCATCTTTTTGCTGGCAGCCAACTTAAAGATAAAGAGCCAGGCTGTTTATTCAAGTGTTATTTTAAACTTCTAATTGTGACCGTTAACTTGCCCTTGCCTTCACGTTTGCCAGGCTGTGCCTATAAACCATTTTTATACCCTATTCATTGTGTACTAGAAATTAATGTTGGCTTCCCTGCTGTGTGGCAGCCGGAGCTGGGGTGGGGGAATTTATCTGAAGAGGAGGAGGAAAGGCCTGGTTCAAATGTGGTGTGTGAAAACAAGCTGAGGTTATGGATCTCATTGCTAAGTTGGCTGAGAATTGTAGGGGTGTGACTCCAGATCACACCCACTCGTCTTCCAATTCAGGCATCTCCGCTATGAGACGACAGTCTCTTAATATAGCCTAGTGAGGGGTATATATAGGGTACACATAGAGCCCTGACTTCAGACAAACTTCTGAACGACTGCTCTACATCAAGAGACAAACAAACAACCAGACAGACTGAGAAGCTGCAGTCATCAAGACCGGCACCTTGGAAAAGAAGAAATTCTGAAGACCTCTGATTGTGCTGAACCTTTTAGCCACATTGAGAATTAGTGCAGAATTTCTCATCCAATCTTTGGAACAAGAACATTAAAGAATGAAGTACTACCAGTGCCCAGTCACCCAGACCGTGCACTATGAGGGGTGCAATCCAAATGACACTAGACCAGTGTCATGCTTTCATTCACGGCCTTCTATCAAACCTGTTCGCAATGTTCACTTTCCCAATGACATAGTCTTTCAGGATTATGTCCGTCAAGGAGAGCTGGAGAGAATTGGACGCTTCATTAGAACCAGAAGAGTGAGTCTGGACACCATCTACCATTCAGGTAGGAAAACCAACTACTTGTGTACTTAACTGAGTCAGCTATGGAAAGTAAATCTATGCTCATTCTCAACTATATACTCTACTATATACTCTGCATGCAAGTAATTAAAATGCAGTTATGCATTCCCTGATCTTTAATAAAGGCAATTTATCCTAATAATCAGCAATGCCATTTTTGTCTAGTTAGCTCTGACTGTTTGATAATATAATCCAAAGTGTCAAGCTTTAATCTACTGATAATTGAGCTGTCTGAGCCTGTCCTTTAACATTAACTCCTTGCTGATTGTCCAGGCATGGCAGCCATTCATGAAGCAGTCCTATCTGGAAACCTGGAGTGTGTGAAGCTTCTGGTAAAATTTGGGGCTGACATCACCCAGAGGGATGAGGACGGATGGACTCCCCTCCATATGGCCTGTAGTGATGGCTTTCCAGAAATAGCTAAGTAAGCACATTTCTTAATTTAATGTATTATTTGGACTTTGGTAAACACAAATTAGAACTGGACATTTAATAGATTACTACTATTTATAATTTAGACAAGCCTTTAGTTGTGATTTCTAACTTTTTTTACTAGTTCTCTGTCAAAGAAAACATGAAAGGCAAAGTGTTTCAGCAAAGAAGCCTTATAAAAAAAAACAAAAAAAAAGAAGGAATGAATGAAAGCATTTACCAGCTATATTCTCAAGCAACTTGTGAAAGATTTAAAGGTAGTTTTTCTTTTTGTTTCAGGTACTTGCTTTCTTTGGGTGCAGACACTGAGGCTGAAAATGACTGTGGGGAGAAGCCTGCTGACCTTATTGACCCAGACAGCAAAGAGCTGCTTGAACTCTTCGGGGTCGGTGGTGCCTGAACTTGCCTGACACTGAAGTTCTGATTGCTCTCGTCTGTTACGGCAGTTGCCACATTAAAAGGATGAAACCGGTAAAAGAGTGGAACAGCCACTGTGTATGCATAGGAGCTGGTAGTTGAGACACCTTGACAGAGTGTCTGGTTATACACTATTTTGGGGAAGTCGTGGCCTAATGGTTAGAGAGTCGGACGCATAACCCAAAGGTTTTGTACCGGCAGGGATTGTAGGTGGGGGGAGTGAATGTACAGTGCTCTCTCCCACCTTCAATACCATGACTGAGGTGCCCTTGAGCAAGGCACCGAACCCCCA